TGTGGATTTACTGATGCAAATTACATGAACGCACACACACAATCACAAGTAATACATGAATATGGAATATGGATAATGAGCCTGGAGATCGTCAGCCTCTTCTTCCACGACCATCCAACACTCCTTCAACTGGGCAGGAAGACAGGAGTCTCACACTCTCACAGGAGGGCCTCTTCACCACGTCGGCACCTCTTCTTCACTGTCCTGCCATCCATACACACTGTCCTCTCTGACAGTCCTGGACACAAGCTGCCTTGCAGCCTATTCTACTATTAAAGTAATAAAGTCTTGCTGCCACATACACAAGTAAATATTGTGGCCTAACTAGCCTACTCATACAAGGGGTAATGGGAGGGAAAAATGATCTACCTTACACTCCTGGCTCACGACGCCTGTCCCTCGATGGTGTGAGGTTCCCACGCTTCCTTGGGTCGATCCTCGACGATCCAGGACGTTCCACAGGTCCTCAGGTGTCGTGAAGCCTTCGCGTCGTCGCCGTTCCAATCCCTGAGATTCAGCTGCCCCAATCCTGGTTCATCGATGGGCGCTGAGCTAATCACTATTTTTCCCCACACTCGCCTCTCCCACAGGGCGTCGCTCCTTGTCCTAGGCACGGTGTCGTCCTTCCAAGATTCTCAGTGGATGTGACCCCAGTCACAGCTGGGCTTGCTCGCCCCACCTTCCAGACCTCAACGTCCAGCCAGCGGCGCCGCCCAGCGTCGTCGCCGACTATTTTCCAAGTTTGGCACTTCTCTGCTCACTGAACTTGGTTCCTCTTTTGCTTCCCAGAAGCACAGGGTCTCCAATAACTGTGATGGGCTGCGCAGGCCAGCTCAATCCACTGAACAAGGCTTGCAGAGCCTCCAATCCTTGAGAGCAGACCGAGGCGCGTCCTGTCGCTTCCCAGGTCAGATCAACTCTGACGTTGGCGCCGCCCGGGGCACTCGGTGACGTCATGGCGGGCCCTGATTGGTCGCCCGCGACCTACGTCGGCCAATCCGCGATCGACATAGTGTCCCTTCCAAAAGGTCATATCTGCCGTAGGGGATACTGTTTCATTTTATATCAGGGCGCCAATTTCTCCTTATTTACAACTTATAATGTAACCTCCTTCCATTAACTGGCAGCCGGTCTGGTCGCCACATATATCATTAGACTCCCTGAACCTCAGAGAATCAGTAGGGAGAGCTGATATGACTCTTTAAGCCGGCAAACGAAAGAAATAGGAGAGGGCACCGTAACAGCATCTACTTTATTTTCCCTATATATAAACCCATGTGATCTTATTTCCAGAGTTTAGTCCCTCTGATTTGGCATCTATGGTTTTTAAGCTGAGTATGTACTTACCTATTTGTGCTTGCGGGGGGTTGAGCGCTTTTTGGCCCCGCCTCTCAACTGTCAATCAACTGGTGTACAGATTCCTGAGCCTACTGGGCTCTATCATATCTATATTTAAAACTGTGTATGGAGTCAGCCTCCACCACATCGCTGACTAATGCAATCCACCTGTTAACTACTCTGACACTGAAAAAGTTCTTTCTAACGTCCCTGGGACTCATGTGGGTACTCAGTTTCCACCTGTGTCCAATTGTTCGCATACCACCCGTGTTGAATAGTTTATCCTTGTCAACCCTGTCGATTCCCCCTGAGGATTTTGTAGGTAGTGATCATGTCTCCAATTACTCTTCTGTCTTCTAGTGTCGTAAGGTGCATTTCCCGCAGCCTTTCCTCGTAACTCATACCTCTTAGTTCTGGTACTAGTCTAGTGGCATACCTCTGAACTTTTTCCAGCTTCGTCTTGTGTTTGATAAGGTACGGGCTCCATGCTGGGGCCGCATACTCTAGGATTGGTCTTACGAATGTGGTATACAAGATTCTGAATGATTCCTTACACAGGTTCCTTAAGGCTGTTCTAATGTTAGCCAGCCTTGCGTATGCCGCAGATGTAATTCTCATTATGTGAGCTTCAGGAGAAAGGTTTGGTGTGATATCAACTCCTAGATCTTTCTCTCTGTTCGTTTCATTAAGTTCTTCATCTCCTATTCTGTATCTTGTGTCTGGCTTCCACTTTTCACTGCCTAGTTTCATTACTTTGCATTTACTCGGGTTGAACTTTAGTAGCCATTTGTTGGACCATTCATTCAGTCTGCCTTAGTCATCTTGTAGCCTCCTACTATCATCCTCGGTTTCAATCCTCCTAATAATTTTTTTGCATCATCAGCAAACATTGAGAGAAACGGGTCTATACCCTCTGGGAGATCATTTACATATATCAGAAACAGTATAGGTCCAAAAACTGACCCCAGCGGGACTCCACTTGTACCGTCTCGGCAATCTGAGACCTCTCCCCTCACACTGACTCGTTGTCTTCTGTTGTTTAGGTACTCCTTTATCCAATGGAGTACCTTCCCTTTCACTCCAGCCTGCATCTACAGCTTTTTCACTAGCCTCTTGTGTGGTACTGTATCAAAGGCTTTCTGCCAATGTAAAAATATGCAGTCTACCCACCCCTCTCTTTCTTGCCTGATTTTTGTTTCCTGGTAGTAGAATTCAAGTAACCCTGTGAGGTAGGACTTACCATCCCTGAACCCATGTTGATGCTGTGCTACAAAGTTCTTTCACTCCAGATGTTCCACTAGCTTTCTTCGCACAATCTTCTCCATCAGCTTTCATGGTATGCAGGTTAGGGACACTGGCCTGTAGTTCAGTGCCTCCGGTCTATCCCCTTTCTTGTACATCGGGACTACATTAGGTGCTTTCCAAATTTCTGGCAGTTCCCCTGCTACCAGTGATTTGAAATATACTATGGAGAGTGGCAGGCACAGTGTTTTTGCTCCTTCCTTTAGAATCCAAGGGGAGGTTCCATCTAGAACCTTTGTCACATCCAACTCTAGTAAACACTTCCTTACTTCCCCACTGGTAATCTCAAACTCTTCTAGTGGTTCCTGATTAAATATTTCCTCTCTTATCTCTGGAATTTCTCATTGCTCTATGGTGAAGACCTCCTGGAAATTCTTATTCAGTTCTTCGCACACTTCCTTGTCGTTTGTAGTGACTCCTTCTGTCTCTATCCTTAATTTCATTACTCTGTTCCTTTACTGTTGTTTTTCTCCTGATGGGGCTGCACATCAATTTAGGCTCAGTCATTGTCTTGCTTGCGATATAATTTTCATATTGTCTTTCTGCCTCTCTTCTCATCCTGACATATTCAGTCCTGGCACTCTAGTATCTTTCTCTGCTCTCAGGTGTCTGTTAATCCTATAGTTCCTATAGTTTCTCCACGCCTTTTTACTTTGCTGCTTAGCTAGCCTGCATCTCTGATTAAACCATGGGTTTCTCATCTTCATTTCATTGTTTTCCTTTTGGATTGGGACAAACTTGTTTGCTGCTTCCTTGCACTTCTGAGATATGAAGTCCATCATGTCTTGGGCCATCTTTACCCTGAGCTCTGTTTTCATGTTATATCTGTTAGGAATTTTCTTATCTCCTCATAGTTTCCCTTTCGGAATGATTGCCTTTTGTTTCAGTACCCCTCCTCGAGTTCAATAACCCTTCTTCAATCAGGTACTCAAACGCCAGTACGCTGTGGTCACTCATTCCTACTGGGGCCTCAAAACCAATTTCTTTTATGTCGGAGTCATTCAAAGTGAAGACTAGTTCAAGTCTCACTGGTTCATCGTTTCCTCTCATCCTTGTGGTTCTCTGACATGCTGGGTTAAAAAGTTTCTAATCACCACCTCCAATAGTTTGATGGTGGTGATTTGACCACGTGGTTCCTTTTTCTCCCAGTCTATCCTTCCATGATTGAAGTCCCCCATGATGAGCAGATAGGATCTATTTCTACAGGCAGCAAAGGCTTCAATTTAAATTATGGTGTTAACTGCCATGTTGTTGTTGTCATGTTCTTGACTGGGTCTTCTGTCATTTGGTGGAGCGTTATATATTACTGCTACTACTATTCTTGGTCCTCCCATTGTCATGGTGCCTGCTATGTAGTCTCTGAATCCCTCACAGACTGGGAAAGCCATTTCCTTTAAACTCCATTCCTTTCTCATTAGTAGGGCCACTCTGCTTCCTCCCCTACCTTCCCTCTCTTTCCTTATTACTGTGTACTGCTGGGGAAACACGACATTCGTTTTGATTCCTTAGAGTTTTGTTTCAGTGAGTCCGATTACATCTGGGTTCACTTCTTGTGCTCTTTCCCTTAGTTCACTTGCCTTGCTTCTGATCCCAACTATGTTCGAGTATATTACCCTGAAACTGACTCTCTTCTGCTTCTCCTCCAAGGGGGGGGGGGACCTGTGGGATCTAGGGTGTGCAGGGGCTAGGAGGATCTGATACAGGGAGACTGGTGGAGGAGGAAGGGCTTGTGGGGGTGAGGGAGAGGGGAAGGGTAGGGGTGGGTGGGTGAGAGGAGGAGGGTTGGGGTGGGTGGGTGAGAAGGGGTGGGTTGGGGGTGTGGGAGAGGGGGAAGCTTGGGATGGGATGGGGGGGAGTAAGGGATTGGGGAGAAGGGGGGGGGGCTTGGGGGCAGAAAAGGGGGAGGGCTTGGGGGGAGTGGGGGAAAAGGGAAAGCTGAGGGGGGTGAGGAAGGGGGAGAGGGTTTAGGGGAGTGGTGGAGAGGGGAAGGCTTAGGTGGGGTGGCGGGAGAGGGGGGGGGCTTAGGGGGATGGGGGAGAATGGAGGGCTTTGGGGGTGGGAGAAATGGGAGGGCATGTGGGAGAAGGAAGAGCTTGGGGTATGGGGGAGAAGGGAGGTCCTGGGGAAAGTGGTGAGAGGGTGGAGGATATGAGTGGGGGGGATGGTGACCTAGGTGGATACTTAGTGAGGGGCTGTCAGGGGATGGGGCAGGTAGGGTGTCGGGTAGAATGTGGGGGTGGTGCTCCAATCCCTGTGGCTGTTGCACTGTTTGAAGAGGGTTCTCCACTCCCTTCTGGGATTGTAGGGCTCTGGGTTGTGGTTCTCTGATTCCTTTTTCTCCTGTTGCACTCTCTCCTCACGTCTGCTGCCCTCACTCTCTCGGCCCTTGTCATATTCCTCTGCAGGAATACTTTGTTGAAGTTCTGTACATTTGCTAGACTGCGCCTCTTTGATAGCAGTTCCTCTTTCATATTCTCGCTATAAATACCACCTTTGTTAATCGGTCTCTGGCTTTGTTGTACTTTCCAAGCCTGAAAACCTTTTCAACATTAGGTCATCCCTCTCCATCCGTACCTGTTTAAGGATCTCGGTAACTATTTTTTTGTCCTTTTCTTTCAGCTTCTTTTGGCTGATCCCTCTTTGCTCCTTAATGCCTGCTACTACTACTGCTCTTTTTTCTCTCTATCAACCGGCTAGTACATCTAGCTGCTTCCTGAGAAGAAGCCACTTCCATTGCAACTTCCCATACTGCAGTTCTAGCTTCAAGGTTCTTTTTAAGCAACTCTGCATATGAGGGTTGTATTGTAAGATTCCCCTCAACAGGAAAATTACCATCTCCCTGCGGGATGGTTTGAGTCTGGTGCTGGGTAGGACTTTCTTTCAGGCTTTTTATTTCATCCTTTGCTGCCTTCAGCTCATTCTGCAGGTTGGATACTGTCTCCTTCATAACCCTATGTCCGTCCCTGAATTCACTGCACATGTGTTCGATCGATTGTTCGACTGTGTGTGTGTGTGTGTGTGTTGTTGGGGGGGGGGTGGGGTGGGGGTAAATACATTAATGTGTGTGCTCAGCTACCTACATGTACTTGTAGGGTCGCTTTTGACGACAAGCCCACCCCTTCCGAATTTCCCTTAGAATCCTACATGTTATCATATACACCCACCCCCCTTTTTTCCCATTATGGTAAGGGTTGAGTTCTCGCAGTCTTTCCTCATTGCTCAGTCCCCTCAGCTCAAAAATAAATATTGCTGCCTCTTTTTAGACTTTTCATAATGTCTCCTTATCTTTTTTATGTTAAAGGTTCCATGTTGGGGGAAGTATATTCAAGTGTGCCCCCTCACCTTCACTGCATATAAGGCCTTGAAAGCTCCGTTGTCGACATTACTGAAGGACACGCAGATGTTGGCAAATTTGTTCTTGCCAACTGTCTTGTTCTTGCCAAATGCATCTGTTGTTATTCTGCTAATGCGGACTTCTGCCATCCGATTTTGGGCGTGACAATGTCGACGCTGTTAAACGCACCCAGCCCCAAATCCTCTTAAGAGGGAAAGTGTGACGATGTCAACACCATCAACAACACCTTCGGATTCGTTGTGCTGAGATTCCGGGTTCGATCCCCAGTGGAGGCGGAGACAAATGGGCAAAATGTTTCTTTAACCCTGATGCTCCTGTTACCTAGCAATAAATAGGTACCTGGGAGTTAGATAGCTGCTACGAGCTGCTTCATGGAGAGTGTTTAACAAAAAGGAGGCCTGGTCGAGGACCGGGTCGCAGGGACACTAAGCCCCTAAATCATCTGAAGATAACCTCAAGATAAGAAGATCTGTTGAGCGCACCCGACGGAATTTTCTGTTTCCCGATGGAAGGCTGTGATCTTATTGACCGCTGTGTAGTTTCTTTCTTACTAATGACATTTTACTCCTCAGAAGTGATGTGGGTTGTGTCTTGGTCGACAGGACCATGTTCACCCAGGGCCAAGGTCTTGGTCGACAGTTCACCCAGGGCCAAGGTCTTGGTCGACAGTTCACCCAGGGCTGTCCTGAACCCATGACGTGTTCCAGGGGGAACAAGTGACCAAGTCGGTGGAGACAGTGATTTGTCTGTGATACTTAGCGAAGTATTTGTGACTGAATCGTTTGTCCTGGGATGTCCAAGTTGAGTTATGAGATGGAAGTACTGTCCGTCTGTTAAGGCTTGTTAAACGTGAAACCTGTGTGGAAGCCTTCCAGTGTGTTGCTGGGGACCTCTGACAGTGTTGCTGGAGATCTCTGACAGTGCTGCTGGAGACCTCTGACAGTGTTGCTGGAGACCTCTGCCAATGTGTTGCTGGAGACCTCGGACAGTGTTGCTGGAGACCTCTGACAGTGTTGCTGGAGACCTCTGACAGTGTTGCTGGAGACCTCTGACAGTGTTGCTGGAAACCTCTGACAGTGTTGCTGGAGACCTCTGCCAATGTGTTGCTGGAGACCTCTGACAGTGTTGCCAGAGACCTCTGACAGTGTGCTGCTGGAGAGTAGAAATGGTGTTTCGGCCTCTTGCCAATACTGTGTATGACTGATCCATGATTTACTGATAAAGCTGAACTCGCCGGCGGGAGGACCATACAAGACACACTCAGGGAGGGAACCTTGAGTGGTGTACGATAGAAGATAGAAGTGAAGTCGCAGGGAAAGAAAATTGCAGAAGTTTTATAGTGTCCTGTGCTAAAGTGACACCTGCAGTGTTATGTTATGTACATATGTATATATTTAGTTAAGAAGTACTCTTGGTGATGGTTCTGATTAGTGTTCCTTTAACTCCATTTCGTTTAGATTGATTATTACGGCCAGTTCTTAATAACTTACCTACGACTTGGGGTGGGATCGATTAAGAAGAGGCACTAAGGCCCCATGCAGAGTTTGATAAATAAAGAACCCAGTTGCTGGCTAAGTGAGACCATAACATTGGGTTACGTTTACTCTCAGGTATTTTTTCTTTTCTCATTGTATACTTTACTTTCCCTTAATCCAATTCTGCTGTACTAGTCTTTGCACTCCTGTTCCAATCCTTATAACTCTGAATTTTGTTGCATTAAGTTCTAGCAACCGTTTTTCAGACCTCTTCTGGAGTGTGTCAAAATCTACTTGTAATGCACCACAACATTTCCTGACCTCACTATTCTCATTTGGACTGAGTCACCTGCAAACATTAATATGAAGGAACCAATTTCCTGTCAGGTCGTTGACATATGACGAGGTTGACATATGAAGGAGGATGGACCCTAGATCCAACCCTTGTGGTACTCTACTCATAGCCAGACCTTATACCAAATCATTACCATGAGAAACCAATCCGTCCCTCTTTCGAACTATCTGGATAGCTATCTAGATATTTTGATGTCTAAAAGCTTTTTACAGTTTCAGTAATATACTACATGAAACTGGATAATGAACCTTTGTCCTAAACAGTGATTATTCTCAAGTTATAACTGGTTATTATTGGTGTTCATTTAGGGGCAACGATGATCGAGGGATCGGAGGCGCCCCAGCGTACCCGTGAAGGATTAATAGTGAAGCCTAGAGACAAAATGAATAGCGTCTGTTGGCGAAAACGTATGTGCCTTGCAGCCAATAAACACACAGAGAAGCAGATGATTGGGGAGCCCCAGTAGTCCCTCAAGGAGGTAAGCACCGGACCAAACCCCACACAGAAAACACCGGGAAGCAAACCAAAACCTCGGCCCCCAACTAAAATGTAAAATATCACCCCATGCCCTCTGGCAGAGCAGAAGCCAGCCACCCACCTCGTCTATAAGGGCACACCAAGACTCGCCAACTTCTGGCACCTCTCGACTAAACTGGCACCGGACACCACCCTCTCCCCGCCCAAAGAACCAGCCAGAAACGTTCTAAATTTATCAATAATTATGTGACTGCAGGCGATATGTGTGCGAGGCATCGTAACAATCTGGACCGTGGAACAGGAACACCAAACGGCAGAATCCAAATCCAAAATCTAGAAACAAAACATGAGCTGGTGACCCTTAGGTGGAGCAAGTGTCCAAACTTTCGCTCATTGTCAAAGTTGAACCAGGAGTCTCAATTTATAATTTTATTTTATTTATAAATAGGTAATTTATAATATGAAAAGTGTATCTGAAAACTATTTTTTTTAAGAATAAGTTTTTTGGAAATGGAATTCTTGGATAGCCTCAAATATTTTTTTAATTCCATATTTCACATTATCATTGACAATACATTGACAATACACAATATTAATGTAGACAAACATAATGAAACCAATAATAACCTAACCTATTCTAAGCAAACCTTAACCTAACCTAACCATGGGTAAGGAGTAGATAATAACACTAATTGTGAAGTCCTGGTAGTAGAATCGGGTTCGTTCTCGACGCACAATCGAGAATTCTGGGTTCGAATCCCAGGCAGAACAGAAATGGTTGGGCCCATTTGCTTTCACCTAATGCCTCTGTTCACCTAGCAGCACGTAGGTACTCAGGAGGTAGTCAGGTTGTTGTGGGAGTTGCATCCACGGCGGGGTCAATAATTCGACCCGGGGGGGGGGGAGAGTGCGATAAAAAGCCTAACGTGTATGAATACTCTCTGTCTTCCCGGCCCCCGACACAGGGAATTATTTCCATTCCATTCCCTTGAGCAGATCTCCTTCCTGAGGAAAGATTGCCATTCGTGGGTAGCTCCTTTGGTAATGCTTTTCTAGGCCGCCACTGCGGGTACCAGTGGTGAGGAAGTGCGTGTGGTCCTCTGCCCCGGCTGTGTCAGGTCATCCTGCCCTCACTATTCAATTCACCATGTTTAACTACACTTACTATTTTGGGGTATCTGTCAGTTTGCCAGATATTTATTCACTCTTATTCACGATATCACTGTAATATTGCCTTTTTATTCTCTCAAATTACAAATTACTGTTCAGGCCCACTGTGTTTGTGCGTGTGTACTCACCTAGATCTAATGTGTGTGTGTGTGAGAGAATGTGCATTCTTGCATATATATATGGTTGTGTGTGTGCGCGCGAGTGTGTGTGTATTTACTATTTGTATCTGCAGAATCGAGCAATTTTAGCTCTTGGATCCCGCCTTTCTAACCAATTTATTTTTCTTTTATTATATTTACTACATGTATTTCTCTTGCTCACACATATGCACACACACACACAACCAAAGGAAGCAGCCCGTGGCAGCTGTCTAAGTCCCAGGTACCTATTTATTGTTAGGTGAACAGATTTGCTTCTGTCTCTGCCGGGGGATCGATCCCAGATCCTTAGGACTACGACTCCAGAGCACTATCCACCCAGCTGAGAGGCCTTGTGTGTGTGTACTGTTATGATCTCAGCCTACAGGAGAAACGAGTCTCCCCCTTTGAGAGTTAGAGAATCGAGTTGGAGACGTGTGGTCTCAAGTCCTGGTCGACGAGGAGAGCATTAAACCGCCAAGAGGCATTATCGTGGGCCGTGGCAGCGCCCTGACCAAGCTTCGGGAAGAGCGCCCTCGACTAGACAATCTGTGATAAGCACGATTTAAGCCAGTTCATAGTGATTGCTTGTAGTTGGTCGTGTGCCCAGCGACAGTAGCGATGTTTATTTATAAGTTAGACATGTTTTGATAAGGCAGAAAGCCTAAAATAAGAGAGTGGAGAGGGAGGAACACGGAGCGACGTCCGTCCCCTCTGAGCGCTGGCAGGTGACTGAGAGCTCCCGGCGGAGGCCCCTCCCGGAGTGAGTGAGGCCCACCGGTCGAGGTGGAGTATGGACCCGCCCAAAACGGGGAAGTCCACCCTCACTGTATGTAGAGGACAGATAGAGGTTTAAGGCAAACATATTGTGTGAGTATTTTTGTTTATGTGTTAAAGGGGAAACATTTTTATTGGAGCGTCGATGGGTTGCAGGTTTGTCTTTGGGGAAGTAGTTGGTGAGAACTTCGAAGCCAGCACAGATGAAGTAGTTGATGAGATTCCAAGGTAGTGGAGCAGAGGACCTCGAGCTGTGAGGAGAAGCAGTGAAGAGGAGTGTCACGTGCTTCTGTAGAGGTGGTGAAGCACCATAGTTGCTCGAGGGAACTTCATGGTGTAGCAGCCAAGAGAGCTGTGGAGGACCCTAGCAGAAGGGTGAAGCACCGTAGTTGCTCAAGAAAACTTCATGATAGCAGCCTGGAGGAGCTGCAGAGGATCCTGGTAGTGAAGCCCGGAAGAACCTAAAGATATCAGGGTTGTGAACTCCCAGAGGTGGAAGGGAAGTTCTGGTGGATTACTTGTAGGGAGTTGATAGTGTTTGGTTGTCATTAGCGTGCTAGACGCAGTGAGAGGTGAGTGAGTGATTGCATTCTTATGTCAAGGAGTGTTTTATACTGAAGTTTAGAGTTACAGTCGTAGGCTGGATTACCTACAGATGTATGTGTTCTAGGACTGTAGAGTGATCGATTGATCATTGTTGTGTATCAAGGAACATTTATACTGATATATGTTATTGCATTCACATGCTGATTTTCTTTGTACAC